GTGTGTGTGTATGAGAGAGAGAGAGAGACCTCTGTGTGTGTGTGTGTGTGTGTGTGTGTGTATGTATGTGTGTGTGTGTGTATGAGAGAGAGAGACAGAGAGAGAGACCTGATCTGCTGTGATGGATCTCTACACAAAGTACCATTCAAGTAAGAGCTACCTACCTTAAAATTTTCCTGTTAGCTGAATGCCCTTTTTGTTTTGTTTTCCAGGGAGAAAGCTCGGGTTATTTTTAATTACACACATTTACTGTGTCTTACACGTTCCTTCTCTTTTTGGAAGTTTTTGCCTTTTCTTTGAAACAAAAAAGTAAAAAAAACAGGTTTTTTTTTTCCACCAACGGGTGTAGCTCTGTTTGTACACCCATGAACTGTTGAAATATGAATCAGACCCAAGTTCGAATCCAGATACGATCAGATGACCAGATTAAAATAATTATTAATTATGCATTACCTGGCGCCGGTCAGTTCAATGATGATATCTCAATGCCGTCGCCCTTTGGAAAAAAAAAAAAAAAAAAAAAGGGAAAAAAAAGAAGGTATTTTTGAACCTTTTCCCTCCTTGCCATCCAGCGGACGAACGCCCGTTGACACGATTCTTCTATCTGGCAGAGCTGCGTGCACGGTTTGTCCCGACTCCCGACCCCGACATGTACAACCAAGCCGGTGTAATTCTCCTGACAGAGTCGGGGTCGGGAGTCGGAGCAACCCGCAATAGAACAAAGGTTCCCGGCCTCGATTGAAACTCCATATGGCGATAAATAAATATGCTTTTTAGCCGAGCAAAATATGCAGCATAGTGAAAACAGGGGCCAACTGCCTTTTGTACACGCTTCCAAAGCTCTTCAAAAAAATACATAGCCGCGCGTACTAATCTCAGTTCACGCGCACATTCCCCGACCCCGACACGTTTCGATCGGTTGCGCTCCGATCATCCTCCCTCAGGGGGCTTCCCACATGACCCTGCCTTGTTGCAGCCCGCCGACAATCCTCCCAACCTATGCCGATCGCCGGGTAATGACAAGTCTACACGTCTTTGTTTTCTTTCCTTTGTTTCTTTTCTTTCTTTTCTGGCGGTGGAGGTGGAGGTGGAGATGGAGATGGAGATGGAGATGGAGATGGAGATAAAGTAGAGTTCATACAGGAGGGAGAGACTGACGTAGACATGGAGATGGACAGGTGGACGGAGATGGAGATCGGGATGTAGATAAAGTGGAGGTCGTGATGGGGGGTAGACATGAAGAAGGAAACGTGGATGGAGGGCCATAATGGAGGCCGACACTGATGTAGAGATGGAGATGGAGATGGAGACAGAGACGGAGGCGGAGACGGAGATGGAGATGGAGATGGAGATGGAGATGGAGATAACGTGGAGGTCGTGATGGAGGCAGAGACTGAGGTAGACATGGAGAAGGAAAGATGGATGGAGATAGAGATGGACATGGAGATGGAGATACAGTGGAGATCGTGATGGAGATGGAGATGGAGATGGAGATGGAGATGGAGATGGAGATGGAGATAAACATGGAGGTCGAGATGGAGACGCAGACTGAGGTAGACATCCAGAGAGGTGGCGATGAAGATGAAGATGGAGATGGCAATGGAAAAAAATACGTCAAGAAAAAAGGTATTTGAAATGAAGATGGAGTATAGGTGGCTATGGTGTAGATGGAGACAGAGAAGCAGGTATACATGAACCTATAGAGAGACGGCTTTATAGATGAGAATAGAGATCGATGGAAGAGATAATTGTAGACATCTAGATGGAGATGGAGGACGGGAGGGATATCGAGATGGAGATGCAGATGGAGATGAAGATGGAGGTATAATAGATGAATAGTGAAAACAGCGGCCATAGACTGCTTCTTGCACATGCTTCAACAGATAAGCATTCCATCTCCGCATGCACTCTTCTCAGTAGAAGGTAGATATCGACACATAGCTACAGAAGCAGAGATCGGGACGTAGAACTGGAGAGGACCACCACCGCCGTTTTGCGGACTGCATCTAACCGGATATACGCTCCGATTCAGACAGACAGGCAGACACAGAGAGAGAGAGAGAGAGAGAGAGAGAGAGAGAGAGAGAGAGAGAGAGAGAGAGAGAGAGAGAGAGAGAGAGAGTGGGAGATGGCGGGAGAAAAGCCGAAGG